ATCGTAATAATAATATTATTGTTGTTCGTGAGATATTTGTTTAGAAAAGTTTTGTTGTGTTAATAATTGTTTAGTCTTATTGCTTTCGTCATAATACACGGCAATGGTGTGAACAATTAATGTTATCGTGTGCGCGGACTAGACTATTTTGAAAAGAGACAATATTAGGTTGTGTGTGTAGTGTAGAGTGTGAAACTGAGTGAATTATCAGTCTTTTAATTTTATTGGGTTATATTTAAAAATCGTGTTCTAATTCGACATTATTTTATTGTATTTCTTTTGTTCTAAATTGTTGTTGCATGTCTGTATTTTCGTACTACATTTTTTTTTTAATTAACCGACGTATATTGAACCGTGTTATCTATTATTTCATTTTTTTGTGATAAGCTTTGTACCGCACTGCATAATTAAAATACGAAGTAACTACTAATCCTACATCGTGCAATGAAAGAAGCGGGAGAATCGGCTGCCAGTCATAATCACCTGTATTCAAAGGACATAACACGCGTTCTTCCACAAACTCGTGAATTAGAGTTTCGAACTTACTTTTTAGTTACAATTCATAAAATACCTTTATGTTTTTTACGTAAAACAATAGTCAGTGTTTAAAAAAAAGTGTATGGGAACTGCAATATCTCATTATCTCTTTTTTTACCTTTGTAGTGGCATTTTTTGTTGTATTTAAAAATAAGAATCTAATCGGAAAAATAAAATGAGTAATTGTTTTGCTAACAGCGTTAACGATATTTAATGTATGTAAATTTCTATTAATATCGCTTGAATACCAAGTTAAACCTTCGAATTTCATCCTCTTTAATCAGATCAGTTTAATACGACGACTCCACAAGCCTCCAGCATTCGAATGGCTCATTTAAATTGTAAAGAAAGTGGAAACAAGCCTAGCCATTAACGTTAGACGTTTAGTCCCAAAATTAGCGATTCTATGACTATTCTCAAACAATTTGCCCTCCGCTTTAATACCGTTCCCCAAGGGATGGTTTTTTACCCAACATCGTTTGCGTTAGAACCGTGTAAAAGTTTAGTTTTACATTAAGAAATTGAATAGTAATGATTTGTGACCAAATACTTAAATGCTTCTTTATTATAATGTGCTTAAGTGCCGTTTTGCAATGGTCACAGGCGGTCATAAGATTCACTTGACTCTTGATGACGTTTTAGACTTATTTATTTGCAAATTAAGGGTAAAATACTGATACAAAACTTGGCAGAACCCGTACTATGGTTACAAGGCTGCTGATGAACATATTATTATATTGTATTGATTGCTGAGGTATTGGATAGGATTGCGGTCTGATTGCAATAAGACGCAATTGGGCCTCCACGTCGCCATTTGTAGAAGTGTTTTCCAATGGGATAGGGCCTGATTAGGCATGATGTCAATTTGGGGAGGACCTGAAATAACATGGTCCGGGTCTTCCCTGAGTAGAGAGTAAGTGAGAGAGTGAGAGACCTGAGCGCGGCTGTCGGGGTGGTTTTTCATGGAATCACCACATACTCGTCAGTCCCCGAGGAGCAGGAGATCCGAAGGGATTTTCCACCCCGTCAGCAAAAAAATTACGCCCAGATACACACACAAACACACACACACACACATACACATACATTACACATCAACAGCCTTTAATAGTCCACTGCTGGACATAAGCATCTCCTTAGAAAGAAGGTTTTTTGACTATTATGCCACGCTGGTCAGACGAGTTAGTATAGGGTTTGTGCCAAGTTTTCCGTCACTTTGCAGTGCTGATGTCCTGTTATACAGAGTAAATGATTTAAAAAAAAATGTGGGAGGAAACGTAATGTCCTTTGACGAGTAGGAATTATCCTTTGCCCTGTGTAACTACTACACGTGCTGGCCCAAAGCCCTACAGATGATGTAGAGTTCTATAAATTTTACAAATCAGCCAGAAAACTTTCACTACGTAGTATCGTAGTTACCACTTAGTTCGGGTATTCTTCGCTAGATGTCGCCCTAAGTTTACTGTTAATAAATGTTACATGAATTGATAAGCTTAAAAAGTTATAAATATATCAACATTTAGTGCGAGGTACGTGATGTACTATTTTTTTTTTGTACTAAGTTTTTACCCGACTGCCAATGACTTGATGGATTTCGACAATCAAGATTAAGATGGCTTTTTGAAAGAACAATACAAAATAGCGGATTTTAGGCGCAAAATAGTAAAAGGTCAATGAAAAAATATCTAGTAGGGTATCAAAATCAAGAAATTTAAAAGGGGATTCAAAAATATATTTAATTTTAATAAGGAACAGTAAATTGGTTTAAAATGTTTTTGATAGCGTAAAAATAGGCCATGTTTGTGTCGGACTCGGACCCAAATCTGACCTCATGCTGTTTTGATCTTGTTAGTGCATTACTCTTAAATTGTATTTTTGCAGTCGATTTTTTGATTTGTTTAATTATGTGTACTTGTTAATTTCGCGTTGCATAATGTACCTATTGTATTGTTGTCTTCTTTATTTTTAAAACAATATGTAAGTCTTCTTCAGTTTATTGTACATTTATTGTAAGTATTAATATTATATTATAAATCTAAGGATTCATGCTACGTGTTGCTTCTTGGGTTGATGCGACAAGAGAGAGAGTTGACATAAAGCACATTTGACATTTGTCAATCATAGACAAGGTAACGTTCCGTTACTACACCTATGGCTTACAATCCTGTCCTAAACGCAACTAACCTGGTTAAAACGTCGAGCAGTTAAAGACATGTACTTTTAGTCCTCAAGGGCCGACTCTCTGCTTGTGACATGAGTATGAATAGGAATTACAATTATTTGTTAATTTTTTAATATATTAAACTCTTCAATTGTTTTTTGTTACAGGTAAGTACTGCCATTTGTTCTCCTAGCGTGTCTATTGGTCATACACCATATAGCTATGTAAGTAAAAACCTAATTATTTACGGCAAAAGGCCGGAATCGCATTTGTGACTCCTGAGTTGCAGACGTTCATGGGCTCCGATGGTAATTTTCCATCAGGTGACCCGTCTGCTCGTCTGCCCCCTCTAACATAAAAAAAAACGTAGAGTACTAATAAAAACATCTTCAAGAGCTTTAAATATTAGCTGTACGCTGCCACTCTTCGCTGTGGCACTTTGGTGAGAAATTAGGAACAAAACTGACGCGAAAAATAGATATAAACAATCTTTGAAGCAGGTTGTATATAAAAAAAAATCAGCTTAATAATTGAGGAGGTCTTTTTGACATATTTAAAAATAAATAAGTGCATTGCCACAATTTGAGTCCCAAGTGTGTTGTCATAATTTGAGTCCCAAGTGCGTTGCAACAATTTGAGTCCCAAGTGTGTTGTCATAATTTGAGTCCCAAGTGCGTTGCCTCAATTTGAGTCCTCTTATCCCACGAACAATACTTAAGAATGTGAAGTTGACTTAAAATGATGGAATCTGCTTATACTCATCACTAGTATTGCCGTATAAATCGGATAGTATTGTGCTTCGTATTTCCAGATTAACTATTTGTAAGTAATAAGCTGAAGCGAGAGCGGTTAGCGGTTTAAATTTGAATGACCATTTAATAATAATATTTTCACACATTTCACACACGACTGTCTGATTCCAAACTAAGCAAAGCCTGTACTATGGTAACCAGACTGCTGATAAACATACTTATACATTTCTAAATACATACATATTATAGATAAAGTACACCCAGACACAGAACAAATGACCTTGCTCATTACACAATTATTTGTCCTGGGTGGGAATCGAACCCACGACCTCTGGCATAGCAGTCAGGGTCACTAACCACTAGACCAACAGGCCAGTCAATTCGTTTGTGCATCGTATTTCGTTTTTAATGTACCTACGTATGTATTATTTACGTGTTAGTAATTAGACTATTTTCTTTTTATTTGTAAAGGTGCTGAAGTACTTATCTATCATAACATACGTCACTCATTAAGTACTATTTGAACAGATCTCTAGAGATTGGAAATCATTCATTAATCAACCGACATGCCTCCTTTGCTGGAGTTCACAAGTTGATCATAGGCCGTTCCAGTCACTTACCATCAGGCAACCCGTCTCCTCGTTTGCCCCATATATTAAAAAAAAAACACAAACTCGCTGACTCTCGTAATTGTACCAAACCAACTGACAGACACGATGCATCGAAACAATTCCAGTACACTGCGCTGCAAACAAAGGTGCCCAGTTCAATTCTACTAATGGAGGGAGATAAGCTTTTTCCTATTACGTCTCTGACGTACACTTGAGGCCCAAGTATGTGTTATGAAGAGTTATATGAAATTTCAGGCGTTGACGTGATGTGGAAAGCAATTTAGGGCCAATCTCATGAAATATCCATTAAATTTGAATTACAAGGAGACTGATATTAACTTCGATGCACTTTCTTTGTCTAAACACTATGGCGGCGATATTTGTGTCTATGATATTAAGTTTTTAATATAAAAATATTGTTTTGGAATATATCGTTTTATTTGTAAGTTATATGCTTAAACTCTTTTAAGTAACCCACTAATTACATGGATACGGACCACGCTAAGGAAACACGTATTCGAAATCGTTATATTTTGATAGATTAGTCCATTATACAACCTACATAATATGTGGTGCTATGTTAGTATATTAATGATTTATTTAGCAATTATTTTTTTATGATACAGGGGTCAAACGAGTTTATAAAAAGTGACTATCGCCACCTATTAACACATGCTAAACGCAAATTCGCAGTATTACCCAAATTCGCATTTAAAACAACTAAAATGTTTGACTTACACATTTTGAAACGATAACACTGCTTGTCTATTTTATCGTATCGGTGACTGATAAGTTTATAACGAAATCTAATATCAGCAGTGTTGTTGAATCTAGCGTCAATACCACACCTTTTAAAAACGATTCGATTCTTTGTAGATATGATACTCTTATTAAATTTTAAAGTTCAACAACCGGTGCTTTGAAGGCTTTTCTTTGACTATGGACTTCGCTAACAAAGTGGTGATAGTGACAGGAGCAAGTTCCGGAATAGGAGCGGCGTCTGCTATCCTCTTTGCAAAACATGGAGCCAAGTTATCTCTAGTTGGCAGAAACGAGCAGAGATTGAAATCTGTAGCAAACAAATGTTACGAAGCAAACGGTTGTGTACCATTAGCTCTTCAAATAGATCTGACACTTCAAGGAAGCTGTGAAACAGTTATTAATAAAACAGTTGCAAAATTCGAAAAAATCGATGTCTTAGTGAATTGTGCTGCCAAATTTTTGATTGGAACTCTATTTGATGATAATATAAATGCATTTGATGAAATGATTAACATCAACCTTCGGGTACCCTACCAATTAACACGCCTTGCTGTACCTTATTTAGTGAAAACCAAAGGCAATATAATCAACTTTAACGAAAATTACACCAGGATTAAAGCAGGATATCTACCATATTCTGTTTCTAAAGCTGCATTAGAAAGATTCTCCAAATCTTCAGCTATGGAGCTAGCATCTGAAGGCGTACGCGTGAATTCAATACAACCGGGAATATTAAAGAAGAATAGGAATACTAATCTGGAAGTGAGACAAGAAGACAGAAACGATACGTACAATACGAGCAACTTGGAACCTGAGGAAGTGGCTAAAATGGTTTTGTTTGTTGCTAGTGGATTGTGTCCTAATATCAACGGTGCTAATTTGACTATAAACGCAGTCTCTACTTATACTTGATAACTCTCTGAAGATTATTTGATTGGACCTACAATTGATTTAGTAAACGTCACTACAGTAACCCTATCTATATATAAATGGTATACATATAATGTCAAAACAATTTAATAGATAGAACAATTTAATGGCTAATACACAGCCTTTTTTTTCCTGCCACCCACAACCAGGTGTACCCTAGGAAGAAAATCTCTGATACCTCGTCGTACCTCGGGCCATCTACGGCGTGTAAATGACCCCTCCTGTGTGGGAACCCCTATGTCCCCTTTGGGTCCCCGAAAGAGCGCGCGCGCACCGCAGCGCGTCTCGCCACCACCCTAGCCTGCTTCTGCTAGAGCGACAGATGGCCTCACCTACCATCCCCAGGCCTGTGCTTATGAAGGACGGAGTACCCGCTACCTAGCCCGTTACCGGGCCTGGCGTTCCGGGAGAGTTCTAAACCTCCCCTGGGACCTCAACCCTATCGAGCGAAAAAGCACAGACGTAAACGTAAGTAACCCTCCACCGATCAATTGAGCTTTTCAAAACTGCTCTCATAGAAACGGACAATATTATTCAACATCGTATAAAAAATTCGATATACAGAATGCCAAACTGCATACCCGCAGTAAAGGCTCGTAGAGTACTAAAAGAGAAATTATATTTGTGGAAAATATGTACCTAATGTTATAGTTACTGTTACTGCATTCTGTAGGAGCAGTTCCGTGAAAAGGAACGGAAATCTGTAATTGTAAAACAATGAAGCGTTTTTTATTAAGTAAATTTTATAGAAATAAAAAAAAAGTTATTACTTTCATTAAATGAGTATTTAATTGTCTATTAAACACAATTTCTGTTGCATTTTGTAGTTTCCTTTATTTTCAGGTGTCCTAATGTGATCGTCTACTCATCTGTAGATGACCCGAGGTGTGTCGGGGCACCAGGGACTTCCTTTCTAGGGTATACCTGGTTTCCCGGCTATTAGTACCCGAGACGGCGTGCGGTTTTAGTCGGTTCGAGTCCGACATGCCACCGATAGGTGGTATCCGAGGGGATTTCCGCACGGAAAAAAAAAAGGTGTCCTAATGTGAACCGGATCAGTTTTGTCATGTGTTACGGCTTAGAGTTGTGCTTCAGGCTTGATCTTGCTTCAACATGTTTGACCCCTATAATCAATGATAGCAATAAAAGTCGACAATGGCTTAACATGTCCTAATTACAGTTTAATCATTCTGCATGAACTTTATTCGAGATAATCCAATCTTACCGACGTGCACGTCTGTCCATCACTGTTCGCTTGATGCATACCAATGACGTCACGTATTCGTCATTACAAAGTATATTGATAGAATGAGCCTTCAGCAATTGAAATCGGATACACAGAGCAAGTAGTAATAAAGAAATAAATAATAAATAAATTTTTAGTTGAATGTCAATCAATCAAACCTGAAGAAGAGGAGACGTACTCCCACCGACAGGGCACTTGTAATTCTTGAGTTCCACGGTGGGTACGGTGCGAAAAGCATTCCCCGCGTGAAAAAAAAAAGAAAAAGGTATACATGGGTGTCAGTAGACACTTTTCATCTGCCGGACTTGTTTGCTCCCTGTATCATGCCATTCGCAAAAATATTTTTGTATACCGGGGTAACTGTACTATCATTTGTTGTGTCTTAGTGTGTGTGTGTAGTATATCTGAAATAATAATAGGTATCTACCTCACCGGACCTTGCCCCAAGAGATTTCTACTTTTTTCAAAAGTTAGATAATTTGTTTAAGCGGGGAAAAATTGAACACTCGAGATTCAGTACAAAACGCTTTGTCTGACTTCATTGTCGCCCGTTCAGCAGACTTCTACAGTAAAGTGTTAAACAAACTGCTGTCAAAAATGCAAAATTGTTAATGTAATTTTGGCCAGTACTTTGATTACCTAAAATAAAAAATAACCAATATGTTTCCATACTAAAATGCTCATACAAATCTCTAACTTCAAAGGTAAAATTCTATTATACACGTATTTAGTATATAGTTAAGTAAGTTATATGTTAGTAATATAAGTAGGTTTGTTTAGCAGTAGGCCGTCTGATCAAATGTCCTTTTAACAGTACTTGCTTTTGTCAGTATAGGATTTAATGTCCAATACAAAATGGGATTCTTATGGCATTCAAACCATAGATTCAACTACAATAGCAATAATAAATACTGAAAGTCTGCTCAAGAGTGGGCGCCTGAGACCGGCCGTCGGGGTGGTTTTTAGTAGAAACACTACAATACTCCTACTCCTATACTCCTGCGTATCCGAGGAGCTGGAGATCCGAATGGATTCTCCACCCGTCAACAGAGACAGTATTTTATTCACATTTAGAATAAATGTCAGGCGTTGTGGGTGAAAAGGTCAATATCTGTTGCTCTTTGTAAAGCTTTCAGATGTGATGTTACATTCATAGATTCAAAGAGTTGTATGCTAAAATTGAATGTTACCAATAACGGGCGAACGAGAAAAAGACGATTTTTCAGAACAGGCGGTAAACAGATGATAGTTGAATGGAAACTTGTAAGTCGTATATACATTTACTAGCTGACCCGCGCAACTTCGTCTGCGTCTCTCAATAGTAATAAATTTTCTCCGTTTTTGAAACATTCTTCATTGGTGCTCCGCTCCTATTGGTCTTAGCGTGATGATATATAGCCTATAGCCTTCCTCGATAACTGGGCTATCTAACATTGAAAGAATTTTTCAAATCGGACCAGTAGTTCCTGAGATTAGCGCGTTCAAACAAACAAACAAACAAACAAACTCTTCAGCTTTATAATATTAGTATAGATTACCACACTGCGGCAGGAAATTATGTTGTTCGAGTGTAGTTAGATTAGTCTTAATGTTGTCTTGTGTCTTAAAAATTAAAATGGCGGCTTTTTGGTGCTGAATTATACTTAAAAAAAAAAAATTCGTAAATCTTTCGAGTGGAGTACCAAAATAAAGGATGTCACGAATGTGCATGAAAATAAATACCTCTATTTGGAACGAGACGTGCTAAAAAAGCTCGTGAAAGATATACAGTTTGTGTATATCGACTTGACTTGATTCGTTTCGAACCATACGGAGGCCCTCTCTCACGGAGCGAAGCTTCCTGACGAGACGGTGTCAAGCGTGGCGCCTAACTAATCGAGAACCCATAGAGTACACACTCGAGTGAAATAGTAATCTTATAAAAAAGACACCAAAGTCTTAGACAATTCGACACTGATATCGTTAATCATACTAAATAAAATCTAATGAGTCAACAAGCTCTGCCAATACTTATCTATAGTCACTGTAATGACAAATATAACATACTAGCCGTTCCCGGCGCTTTCATTCGTATGAGACAACAATTTGTGGATCATACAAAGTGTCGTCCCATGTGGGGTTTGAACCCACAACACTCGGCGCAATAGGAAGCGGCGTGGCGACCGCTTAAACCACTGCGCCATCCGTTCAAATCCGTTTTAAACCTATATTCGGCAGTCATCGTGAAATTTTATTCGCATGAGTTCATAATGCATGTCTTTGAAACACAACAGAATAGCTTTGAAAATATGAATGCTCTAACTCTCTAATAATAGCTAACATTTGATAAATTGGAGCACTATTAAAATAATAACATGTTTTATAAACATTGAAACATGTTTGTAGCTACAGCACCGTAAATTCTTTCAGTAATTCAATAAATTGTTACTCAAAACTTTCAGAATATAATTGTTAACAGATTGCTTTAAATAAGAATGCACTTAAGTGTGAAACATATGCATTAAATAAACAGAAAATACTTAAAACATTCACTGTTTACTTCGAATTATTGTTGTAAAATAAAGCAATGTGATTTCATCATTTATCATCCGTAATATCGTTCCTATATCGTCAACCAATATACTCACCCCAAAGCTATCAAAAGCGAATAACTTTACAGACTGACAGACGTACACCATATTTACAACTCTGTAACATTTGTCATACGGTGTAATTCTTAGTGGCATGTATCTACAACGGGTGAAGTTCATCCGCAAACTTGGACATTTGCCAAAACTCTGTCGACCAGTTTGTATAGAGCCATAGGTTGTCGTAAATTTTGATGAGTCGGGTATTTCATTGTGGGATTTCAGGAGTCGTGTTTAACTGGATGTAAGGTAGTTAAAAAATATTTTGCTGCTAATAGAGGTGGTAATTTATTCTCGATGATAGTATCACTTTGTAAAATCTAAACATTCCTTCGTGTCTAATTTGCCTGTTGCTTGTTTCTTTTCCTCGTTTGTGGAGCACGGGATTTCTTTGAACAGCTGATTAATAGTGTTGTAATCGTTTCTTTATTTTTATTTTTTTTGGCCTGTGGTTTTAAATAAAATTGGTGATCAGACTATTTGACCACAGAGGTTAGATCAATTAGGTGAGTTAATAAAAATTAAATTTTGAAAAGAATGTTCTTTGTTATTAACCAATTAAAACTTTCGGGTTTGCAATACAATAATTATGGAGATACAGGAATAAACGGGATCATGCTTTAGGTATTACCTACATACTTTTGAATTGTAAGACGCTTACCCCAGACTTGCACTGCCTGATGTCCCATACTGAATCCGTAAGATTCAAGTACTTTTTTGCTAACGCTTAGCTTACACTTACTACACAACTCTTAAAAGTGGCATCATATTTAATCACTGGTACCATGCTTTAGACAATTTAAAACCCCTATTACCCTTTCCAAGGTTTGATGCTTTCAATTACATCTCCTCATTTCCGTACAACTCCGTCCCGTGAGGGACGCGTACGGTGAAATTTCACAATCCACAGTTTCTTTATATAAGATTAATAATGGACGCGCATTTTGATGATGATTTGCAACACCTGGTTGTACCACAATCGCACTGTAAATCTTATTAAGTATTGATAAAGGAGATAATTAGAATTGATTGGAACAGACCTCGGGATAGTACCTAATCTACGTGGATTGTATAATTAATGAATTATCGTGATATAATTGTTTTGCAAC